TATTGTTATAGTAATCAATATGCCTGACTTGTACACGCAATATTTCCACACAACCAGAAAGTACAGTCACAACATATAAGCCATCAAAAACACAAATATTCAAATTTCTACAAGGATATTTCCAAGTTTACTTATGCATCCCCAGTTCTACATAAAACAGCTTATCATTTTTAAAAGGGACCTTCAAGGTCAGTCAAGTCAAACTGTCGCCGCATTAGGCAAGTCGGGTAGACAAAAAATCACACATTTAGCATCTTGAGAGCAGGTGAGCTAAATTGTGTAGAACATTTAACATTTTCTATAAAAAACACAAGCAATGTCCAAGTATAGGACAGTTTGTATATTTTTCTATTATGTTCAGATAGTTTGTATATTTTTCTAATATGTTCAGATATTTTAGAGTAATTATAATATTTATGTAGGTTACTGTTTAATTTTTCATAAATAACTACAATGTACTTACTTTAAAAGGTATCCTTGTCGGTAAACACATTACGTGGGTATAAATTATACACAGCTCCATAACTTCCTGCTTCGAATTTTGTATAAACAGTATCTTACGTATACATAAAAACCTATATCGATAGTTCAAGGTCATTTAGTGATAAATGACAGAAACTTTATTATCAGTTTAAAATATTCGACATAATGTACTTTTCTCTTTTATCCAAGTTAAACTTCAATGACCAATTTACAGATAATATATTATTTATATAAATCGGAATGTCATTATATTTATAATTCATATGTAAATATGCTTAAGTTGTAATTTAATTGCATGTTCGATGTTTTCAAATACTTAATCCTTTCATGCATTGTGTGCTTTCTTAAGATATTTATTTCCTTATTATTGATGCAGAAATATGTTGCATAAGCACTGTGTCTGGTTATAAATGTATTTGTTTAATTATTAACCAACATAGTTTGCTACAGACAAGGTCCTTTCTGTCTTTATAATTGTATTCAATTTAGCAACGTATTATTACCACAATATTGCTTTCGGACGGTTAACATTCTTATTGCGATCGAAATAGCAGAGCAAGGTATTACAATAAGGAATATACAACTCTGATGAAAACTAAAAAGAATGCAGTCTTTTTAACATATATTTATAAGCTAATAACATAAGTAATTTGTTGCTTTGTTTTTGTTCGAGATACGAAATGATGATACTCTCAAGGTTATCAAATATATTAAATATGCATTGGATATAATCATTTCATTATATATTTCATCATATAACTGTTTGATACGTAAAAGCCTACTAAATTAATAAAACTATATATGTTTGATATCTTAAAGGCCCATTAGGCCTCTGAAATGTTATCAATTTCGTTTCTAAAAAACTTTTTTATATTTTGTATCTGTTTACGGTTTCCGAAAAATACTAGTTTGCCACACGCATGCTTTGTTTTACTACTTTTGTTCAGTTGCAATTGGTATAAGTAAAGTGAAATAGTGTTTTGTACGAAAGTCAAAATACTACTTTGTTTGCATGTTACCTTTGTGGCACATTCCTCCACGGTCAGTCCAACTTACTTCAGTTTTAAACATCTGCTTAAGATATATTAGAAAAACGTGTTAAACATAATGATTGACATTTCTTAAGAATTAAAAATAAATCGGAGTCATGATGCGCCCTTAATTTACAAACGCCTTTTAAATAACTATTGTTAAATTTAACTTTGTTTATTCAAATGACCAAAATAAATAGATGGACAGTTTTTTTCCCCGCAGCCTAGAATGAATATAACTAAAGGCCAAACCATTCGGTATGATTTAGAAGAACAAAAGCAATTAAATCTTAGATGTAAAGCCAATCTTAATATGCGCATGCTACTATTCCTTGATTTATTTCATACAAAGAAATACCATATTTATAGAATAGGACATATTCGAGTCTGTATTATTTGTTTTACAGACCTCCGAAAAAGACAAATGACAGATTTAACTCCCCCCGCCCCCCGCCCCCAGAACATAATCAGACCTTAAATAGTGGACAAATAAAATTGAACGGAAAGACAAACAGTCTAATTTATGTCGTTTACTTAAACATTTGTTAGTAATTCCACAAGCCTTCAAACTTTACCTAAAATAACCTCCCTCTAACATGTCTAAGCTAACTCTTTTGTTCCTTCATCATTGAATTAATGATTCATGAAATGAATTACTACTCAGTATAAGAAATGAAAACGTTTTGCTTTCCTATCGCAGGGAAGTTACAAAACAAGTCTTTATTCTATTAAGATGACTGGAAATATCAAGTTCTTCCATGCGACTCCAAAGAATTTGAAGCTCTCTCAGTTATCATTTATTTCTAAAGAATATTGTCCAATCGCCCCTTCGTCACTGTGTTTAAATTGAGTCAACCTACCACTATTTTTTATGAATATCAAATATTTGATAACATAAGAAACATTCATAGCTCCTTCGTAATAAGTCATCTTGTTTAAAACGGAATTCAAATCAATTGAAGCAAATGAGATCATATTTTCTGCAGTTCATAAATATATCAAAGTATGTTAGAGGTTTGAAACATGATTTATTGAAACATCAATCAAGCAGTCGTTTTACACATTGAATTTGTATTCTCCAAAACCAGCTTACGTAAGTCAGTCCTTAATGTATTAAGATAGCGTTATAATTACTACATATCATCCATTAAGTATACATGTTTGAACATGTATGTATCCTTCAGTTTTGTTCCACATATTATATGAATTCATACACATTGTCTCAGTAGATTGATGCCATCATTTTGTTGTAAATTTAAAATAGAGTCGGAGAAGAACTTTATACTATTTTATATATTTCGTTCTAATCCATTTTAATTTTGTATATATTGAATGCATGCATATTATGCACTGTGTATGACTATGGATTAATATGTTTAAAACTAAAATTTAGAAACATATACAATCATGTATGTTAAATTCAACATGAAGTTAAATGCATATAAGCTTATGTTGTACTAATATCATATTTGAAGGACACATGTTAAAACCAAATAGAACATTCCAATAATAAATGAATAACAATGCACTGTTCTAAACGTGAAAGGGCAACATTTAACTATAATTATTGCGTTTATTGGTTTATCAAAATAGACATTATGAGCATCATAAATCTCAGATATGTATTCAAAAGTGAGGTGTTTGACATAAACACGTGTTAGGAATAAAAAAACAGTAAACAAAGTGAATCATCATAATTTTCCCGAATAAATGATCGGCTCATCCCGGTTGTGTAAATGGACAGTGTTATTCTTAGAATAATTTAACTCGCTAACTAATGCTAACACTAAACTAATAAAAAGTGATGACATAATAATGTTGTTCAAAAAAATGCACAGGCACTTATTATGGTTAAAAGCGACGACGACATTACTATTTTATACAACAAGAGTCTGCATATTAAATAGATTATTAATTTTGATCTTCAAACATTAGTTGGGTTTAAAATAAAAATTATGCTTTGATACTTGCAAAACCAACTTTCACTAATTAATAAACGACCCGAAAAAACGTGACGATTCATGTATAGGTGAAAGATGTAAGATAATTTGAAAGAAATCTCTACTATTATCGACATAACTATTTACAAGCTACAATTTTTGTCGATTTTTGACTGTAAAAATATCAATCGTAACAGATTGATGAAAGCTGCAGAGTAACACCTAAAGCTGGCTAAACTGTTTTGTCAGTTTAAAATATCTCGATATCGATTTCTTATAAATTATAAATGTCAACCTGCCAACCTTTAAGTATAAGTCGTTGAAATTTCAATAAAACATATGACAAAATCCGATCAACACATTTTCCCTACACATAAAATAACCTTGAGACTATAATTGTGACGTATTTTGTGAAATAAATGACACATGGCAAATGTATCGTATTTTCATGTATCACCTAAATTGCATTGATGTCATACGTAAAAAATTATATATTTAAAACCTATTTAACGTATTGTGTAAAATCTTTATATTGTAGTCAAAATGATCGATTTTCCTTCATTTGTTTCTAAGTAGAGCATGTATACGTATATAGTTCGTATTAGTTAATAAACAATAAGATGAATCAAGTAGTATGTATAAAGCGCCTTTAATATAAGTGTAATTTTCTCAATATATTTCAAAAGCTTTTTTATATTTTGTACGGTGAACTATCCTTCTATAATTCCCGTCTTTATATCATTTTGTTTCATTAATTCAAATCGACATACAGCATTTTTATCTTTGTTTAGATGACATGTTAAGTGGACATTTTGGAAGAAATAAAATCCGATACTATAAATACAATGCTTGTTTAAAACATCTATTTTTAAAGAAAACAAATAATTAAATGTTCATTTTCAAAGGGTTTTTTTTTTACTTTGAATAGTTTTACTAAAATTCTTAATAAAAACAAGACAATTACTTTCTAAAAGTTTTATAGTTTAGTGTATTCGTTTGTTTTAGATAGACAAATGAACTAAAAATTGTATTTTATTATGTTGATAATGCCTTTCCAACTTGACAAAAAAATGTGGCTTAAATGTAAGTTGTTAACAAATATCTATATGTATGCTTATACAAAATCTATATTATGCTATTTTAAGTATCATTAAAATGAATAATGAAGCCAACTTACTAAGATAGCATTACATTATTAATTTTGTAATATGTTTGAAAGCTGTACAAAACAGTTACTTTTGTTTGAATTATAACAAGTTTAACCTCAGGAATGTAATCAAAGGTTTGCTATTTCCCTTGGCGCATTAATTGAAAGAAAATAAATTGACAATAATAGTTTAAATTATTTGTTAAAGGTTTTTAGTTGTTTGAGGAAAATAAATATAGAATAAAGTAAAATTAATTGCATTGAACGCACATAAGAGAGAAATATCGTATAAAATTGGTAAAACAATATTGCTGTATGAAATTTGCACAACACTGTGAATGACCTGTAAGGTAAAATATTTTCAAATAAAAAATATATTTCAATGGAAATGTTCATATAGAAACTTTTAATATACATTCAGAATTAATTATATTTATATCGTTTCTATGCTTCAAGATTAAAATGAACAAAAACATTGAGTGCCTTTATTTATTTTAACAAATATCTGTATTTTGGATTTGATCTTCTCAATGTTTCAATAATATTCTTAGATAAATTTTGTTTTGCTAATACGATGGAATTAAACATACATTTAAACAGTAAAGTATTACAACTATAAAGGTATGAAAGGGTCATAAATTTCAGCAATCGATGTACTCCTACTTCTGATTGACGTTTCGGAACGATACATCGTATGTGTGCGTGTGTATATAAGGTACAGTATTCACAATTCGAGAAATTTATTTGCATTAATATAATTATATTTATTATTTCTCTATATAAAATATTTAGACATAAAACTTTAATATTTTTGAAAGACGTTTCCCAGCACACAATTTTCGATTCGAGCCAAGTCTAAGCCTGCCAAGTCAAAGCTTGTCTATAACAGAATTAGGCATCTGCACTTTCTTTAGCAGTTTTTACAGTAGGCTTTCGAGAGTAAGGCACAAACAAAACCAATTTTAACATCATAACAATAAGTATGTACAAATCATAATTTCTATCGCTTCAAGTTCCATAAAAATGTATATTATATGAACGTTTTTTGCCATTATAAGCAACATTGTTACCAATATAAAATATATTTGTACCTAACACAAACATAAATTAGATAATTAGAATAGCAAATTCAAACTACAACCATTCCTCATTTAACAACATCAATAATATGTGATTCGCAATATAATTTTACATAAGCTGTTTAAGTATCAGTTTTTTTTCTATACTTTTCCATGAAAGACTTCATTAAATGTGTTTTTAAACATTGATTTTACCATGCACTTATCATGAATTCACATAAAATCTAAACATTACTATAATAATATGATATTTTGCCGACAGTTTATGCCTATATTTTTTATGAATATTACGTTTAACAAAATGAATAATTCAGTAACATTTCATGAATCAATTAAAATTGATAGTTTATATTCTTATATTAACGTAGTCGGAAGTGTCAGTATTAGGTACATTTGTATTTTTTAACTCCATGTATGTATTTGGCTTCCGGGTTGAAGCGTTGAGATGTTCATATGTTATATTGAATTCATCATAATTATTTATTTCTCTCCTGCTTGCATCCAAATCTGTGTACGTGGATGAGACATGGCTCACGGCAGTAACACCTAAATTAACGAGTATATATTAAAGGTATTGCAAATCAACTATGTTCTTTCTAAAGTTTGAGCATGTATATATTGTATGAATTTGTAACGTTTAAAAGCAGCAAACCCTGTGTGCCTTAAAAAATACAAATTAAATATAAAGAAAACTCATTAGTTTCTTAATGATAATAATAATAATGAATTATTGGATATTAACACCTCACGATAATCATCTATATTAAATTAGTTAAAATGATTTTTGACAGGTCATATGGCCCAATATAAACGGTTGTTAATATAATCCGAGCCGCTAGGCGAGTGTTATATTGCAAACAACCATTTATATTCGTCCATATAACTTGTCAGGAATATTTATAACCTATTTATAATACTGCAAACTTCCTGTTTAGAGGAAAAAGGGAGCTTATTTCATAAATTGACAGCAGCCGTGCGTATAAAACTATATAAACGTCACGATTGTCCAATGGAAAGCGATATTACAACCGTGCAGTATTATAAGTATACCAATATGAACACTATACCATAGCAAGTTATATAACTTATTTAATACATTTAGTGTTACAACTTATACACGTAACAGCAGAAAAAAAGTAAGCATGCAGGCAGGAAATCAAGCGTTTACTTTAACAAATTAATGTTATTACCTGGTTTGGGACTTTCACGATGTGAAGATCTTATATTTCTGAAAACACAAGTTTTTATTAAGCGCTATTAGTCAAAATAACAATAGCAACAGTGAACAGAATTTAACTATATATTCATAACATTGTTATTATTATGTTTCAATGAAACCTGTTATTATTATATTAGTTGTTTTTTTACTGTTGAACTAACAAACAAACAAAAATCACTGTCACCCAACCCACGAATCATGGGTTGAGCCCTTACCAGTTTACTACCATGTGTCTTCATATAATTCAAGTCCCGCTTAGTTCAAGGAAGCGAAAATAAAAGTGATTTATATCAAGATATGCTCTGTAGAAAGGGTGATTCCTCAAAAGTATGCATCACAACAAAATTGCATGACAATTGCAGGTTTTGTTTGTTGAAGTCTGTACTTGGGAGAGAATGAAAAAGTGCAACATCCCTCACTCTCGCTAGCAACGAGAGGTATTCAATGTTCAACACTTAAAACTGCTGTTCAAATCAATGATCCCGAAGGACCTTAAAATATAACGATACTGGTGAGCAATAAGGGGTCGAATGTTTAAATCTGCCATATGGCACTTGACAGCTGCTGTTGTGATGTATAAGTCTGGAAAAGGGTGATCCCCCTGCAGTAACAAACAACAAAACGAGAAAATGGAAACTGCAGATTCAGTTCGATTAATTCTGTACATGATGAATAATCAAAAAAGCAACACATTTTGTTTCCAGAACTTGCTTCGCAATTTAGCTTGAAATGAATGTGTTAAGCATATAAATCTGCAAAGTAAAAAAAAAAAAAAAAAAAAAAAAAACATTAAAAACATTCTGTTTCTACATAATGCTGATTTAAATGTAGCATAATAATATGTTTCCCTATCGTTTAAAAAAACAATGCATCATGCAAGCACGTCTTTATATCCCCTAAGGCTTCAATGATCGCATTTTGTTTGAATTATGCGGACATTTTATCACTGAATTTACTAAAACGTTCTTCTAGAGTTCCATTGCGTTTGATTAATACATGTATATTTTCTTTTGTTTTAGTCATTGCAAATTGCATTTATGAAATGTATGATTAATTTTTCAAAAATGTATTGTTTGATTGTGACTCACATTGAAGCAATAAAGCTATTGGGAAAATTGTAAAATACACATAAAGTAATTAGAATAAAATTAACACCAGTATGCCATACAAGTAATATAACATAGTTCAATCTTAAAACTTTTTAGCTAAATAATAATACAGAGCAACGTATATGACTTAATTAATTTTTATTACCTTCTCTTTAAGAAAAATACAGCTAAAAGGATGCTCACAATCATAACAGCAGCAACACCTGAAATACTTCCACCTATAATGCCAACATAATCTGATGACTGTGATTCTGCTTTTTTAACGTTTACTGAAAAATATACATAAATAAACCAAGGAACACATAGGTAACACTGCATACAAATCATACAACATTTTAAACCATTTTGTCTAGCTTTTTAATTGTTGCATTGAATGTCAGCAACATCATTTTAATTTTTTACTTAATTATATTTACAGTAAGTTTGTCTAGAAATAAAAACTTATCATTTGAACTTTGCTTTGCTTAACCTTTTTTCTATTTCATGTCTCATTGTTAATACATAAAATGTATAAAAATCAACGTCAAAGCCGAACAAAACAAATGAACAATTATAAATGCAGGAATGTCATCATTTTGTTAAAGTATTTAAATCATAAATATATGTTATAAGAAATCAGCAAATGTATATAATTGACTTACTTTTAGTTGTGATCTGAAGATTCGGGGTATAGGAAGAGTTCCCCTTTTTATTCATTGAAAACATTGTTATATTATACACTTTAGAACTCAACAAGCCAGTTAACGTATAGTCCATTGCCTGTTCATTTGTATCCTGAACTTGAACACTATTCCACTTCTCCTCCTGATGGTACTGATATAACAAAATAAAAGTCTGTGGAAAGCCACCATCAAAACCTGGAGTCCAAACCAATGTTACTGACGATTCAGTGATTGATCCCGATTTGTACGTTAAATTTATAGGCACATCTGGCTTATCTGTAACAGAAATTAAGTATATACATAATTATAAAATATTATTAAGAAATAATATATATACGCAAGTGCGATATTTTTTTAAATCAGTAAATCATTATGAATAATAATATAGTAACTTTTTTATTATTTAACAATACCATGCACATATAATTTTCATAGGATATGATCCATGCATAATAATCAATAACATATTCATTTTGAAAAAAATCATATGAATTCAGAAATATAGTTTACCTTCTGCTTGCAACATAAAATGATGGATATACTCTCCTAATGTGTTTGACACTTTGACGCTATATTCTCCAAAATCTATTTGTGTAATGTTTCTAACCGAAAGGCTAGAATTTAATCCAATTGTGAATATTTCAAATTTTTCATCATTTCTTTCAATTGCAACATTTTTGTGGAACCACATAAATTCTGTTTTATTTTCTTCATCCAAGTATTCATAAGCAACAAAATTCAAAGTTTTGTTTGTATACTGAGCAGCTGCGATCTTATTGGGGAATATGCTATCAAGTGACGGTCGTGGTGAACCTGGAATTTATACAATATGTTTTAATAGAAATAGTTTACAACATGTTCGTTCTATCCATATTAAAGCTGAAAGAATATAACGAAAATGGATTTACACAAGAAACATCACACTAGTTAAAGTGTAAAAATTGGAACCCTTGACTGTTAGTAGGCGAAATTGTAAAACAAGGGGAATTCACCTAAAATCAAAATATTAAGAGTGTTGTCTCTTGATATTTATTTTTGCAAAATTGCTTGAAAGAATTGTCATTGCTTGCAAGGCACATTTGAAATAAAATGGGCATGTCACGCATATAATTATTGTGTAAGCAATTTTTCTGTAATTATGCCCCTTTTCAATTTAGCGTTTTTGTCACAACTTCTAATTATCAGTAAGCTGATTTCAAAATTTATAACGTGTGATATTTTATTGTCATGACAAGGTATTATATACTGAAGTCAAGACATTATGCCTCTTAAAGAAGTTAAACTTTTTATAAAAATGTGTAATTGATTGTGGATATGCATTTTACAGACGAGCATTAACAGTTCATGTTGTGCTCTTTTGATGCTCGCTGAAAAAAATCGGGGGAGCATATAGTCGCCGGGTTGTCCGTCCGTCAGTCCGTCCGTACGTACGTCCCGAATTCGTGTCCGGCCCATAACTTCGTTTTTTGAAGTCGGATTGTACAACTATTTCACAAAAATGATCACCATATTAAGACAACGTGTCGCGTACAACATTTTGGTCGCTACCTTAAAGGCCAAGGTCACAGCTTGACCTTGCAGCAAAATCGTGTACGGCCAATAACTTTCTTATTTGAAGTCGGATTTTACAACTTTTTCACAGAAATGATCACCATATTGAGACAACGTGTCGTGCGCAACATTTGGATTGCTACCTTGAAGGTCAATGTCACAGCATGTTCTTGCAGCAAAATCTTGCCTGGCCCATAACTTCGTTATTTACAACAATTTCCCACAAATGATCACCGTAATAAAACGACGAGTCGCGCCGAACATTTGGGTCGCTACCTTGAAGGTCAAGGTCACAGCATGACCTTGCAGCAAAATCGTGTCCGGCCCATAACTTCATTATTTGAAGTCAGATTTTGCGACTATTTCAAATAAATGATCACAATATTAAGACAACGTGCCGATATATTTGGGTCGCTACCTTGAAGGTGAAGGTCACAGCATGACCTTTCAGCAAAATTGTGTCCGACCCAGAACTTCGATATTTGAAGTCGGAAACCATCAAAACGGTTTTTGTTCTTAAATTTCGAACTATAGTCCTGTATAACGTGACGTTCTCGAGTCGGTATAAACTGCAAATGTGTTGACGATTAAGGCACGATTTGAATCGGTCGGTAGTCGGTAAGATTGATCGTTGGGCTTGAATGATAAATTAAAAAGAATTTGTATTTGTTGTCCTTGAATGTAAGACAAAATAATATATATGTTCATTATAAAATGCGAATAGAAAAAGAACTAATAAAAAGACATCATGAAACGCATTCAGCGGATAAGTAATATTCATGTTGTCGTTTTGTTTATTTACATCACACTTAACGTCATATAACTTTTAAGTAATCCCTTTTATATGACGTGTATATAATGCCCTAAAGTGTCTGTTTAACAGAGGAATGTTACAAAGCGGTTGGAGTTAAAAGAAAGCGCGTGATGATGTTTTTGTTACCCCATTTTTGGGCTTTATATCATCATCTGATAAAATAGTCTTAATATACTTGACTGTGAAAATAATTCATAGCGCAAAAGAAAAAAAAACTGAAGTGAATGTTCGTTTTAAAAATAAATAAATTTAGTAATTAAAAAATTAGTACTATTAAGCGTGTACTATAATTATGTTTTATAAAAGAAAAATATTATATTCTTCAAAAGAGTGATCTAGTATCAGATAAAACAAATCTAGTATCAGATAAAACATGAATATCTTATATATAATAAGTTTACAGCAAGCAGAAAAATATGTTTTTTCTGGCTCCCTTCAAAACATTTACACGAGCTGATTTGGATTAAATCAATGCAAAACAGATCAAAACAATTTGTTTTTAGGTCAAAAGGCGATCGCTCAAATACATTTAAGAATATAAAAATTTACAGATGCATCTATGAACGAAAGTGTTAGGCTAGACATGACGATAGGAAATGTTAAATGTGTAACCGATACATTACACATCCTTATACTTGCAGGTATACAATCAAAGAAAAGTTAAGTTGCAGTATCTTTGTGATGCCGCGTAACGTGAATTTTACAATACAAAGCCCAACATAATATTATCAGCTCATTCGTTGACCAAGCTTTGAAAGAAACAAGTATTTTTATCGTTTAAGCCAATGGTAAATGTACAAAGAAAGACTAAATGAAAGAAAGTCATATGCAAAGCCGGTTAAACTTACATTTGACAATCATTGTCAGTTCTGATACTGATGGTTTATCCTTTGTGTAGTTGTTTCTGCCTTCACATTTATATTTGCCTGCGTTTTCGTACGAAGCATTTGTTATGCTGTAAAGCAGCAAATTTCTGTTTTTTACTGTCGATATCCTCTTGCCACGTGTATTGTATATAGATAAATCCGAGGCTGGGTTAGCTTCTGCTGTACATTCTAATGAAACTTCATCTGTTTGGTTTACAATAAAAGTTCCACTTGACTTGTTTTTTACAACAGTAAAATGTTTGATTTCTGAAGAAACTGAAACATATTATTATAAAGTCAAGATAAAAAAATCATTTGTTGCCTCCCTAAATATGTTTAATACATTTTCGCTTATTAATTGACAAACTACACACCACGGTAGAAAAAGCGAAAGTTGTAAACGTAAAATCCTTTGCTTCCCATAAAAAGAAGGCTTTAAAATAATAAATGAAATATAAACTATTCAGTTTTTAGATTTAGCATTGATAATAAGGATAAAATACATTTTACATTTTCTGATGAATGGAAAATTCAAGTATTCTTACGTGTTACACAGTTTCAAATGTGATTTCAATAAAACCACTTACTTCTCTGTGAACGTGTACTCTCTTCGATAGTTATATTTTTAATAAATAGATAATAGTGATAGTAACTGACAATATACTCTGTGTAATCAATAAAAATAGGAACCTCAAATAGTTCACATAATAAGCTTGCGTTATTCACGCCCTTCCCATAAACATATAATAACATTAAGTGATTTATATAATAGTGATTTTGATTATAATAACAAAGTATACTTACAAAAAACATTAAGATGTATTGTTTTGCTTCTTATGGCCAATGTTTCGTCACCAATTGTTGGAATGATTGTACTTCGTAAAGTGCAAGTATATTTTGTATCATCTGCTCTAGAAACATTAGTTATAATCAGTTGACTGTTCTTCCAATTCTTGTCATCACTGATTCTAGTCCATGACACACTTTCTTCTGTTGGGTTTCCCTTCTGAACTCGACATATAACATTAAGGTCTGATCCTTCGAGAATACTTATGTCTTCTAGTGATGAAAGTGTTGATGGATCTGCAATCGTGTTTTAAAAGACTTTGAAATGAAATTAAAATTATGAACGCATGCATGTTGACACATTAATGTTTTGAACAATTGCATTCCTCAACGTTAAATATATTTGAATCATCTACGAAGAAAATAAATTTAATATTCATTTCATACGTACACTTCATGTCGAGTGACAAGCTGGAAACGTTCAATCCTTGTTCAGTGTCACCAAAAGTGCGTTTCATCAAGTTACTCGCATAACAAGTGTAATTCCCGGCATCCTCTCGGCTAATATTTTTAAATTGACGTATACGTCCTTGTATTTTATCATTGTGGCTATCCCAGGTGTATTTTGGGAGAGGTTTTCCTTCAGAAAAACATGTCAAATTGATGTTGTCTGTTTCTCGTAATTGTATAGTCGCTGCTGTAATGTTTAATTGTCTCGTTCCGTTCGAAATCGTGATCGTAGGAATGTATGGCTCATCTACGAATGTAATAATGAGCATCCACAGAAATATTTTTTTATTATGTTCTGGCACTATTAACTAGTTTAATACTAATCATTATGAGCATATAAAAAACACTAAATAAACAATATTCTTTACTCAGTGTCTTTAAAATAAGTCATAATGATATCAATAAAAGAAATGTTTACTCTTAATAAATAGAACACTTTTATAAACATGGTAAAATTTTTACTAAAAGTAATGCAGGCCTAGCTTAAAATAAACCTGTTAATGGGAGGTAATAGTTGAAAATTGAATTTTGTAGATATGACTGATTTAAAATTTCACCTGTCTGAAAAAATTATTTTCACAATTAAATTTAAAGATTTAAAATTGTGGTTTGGATCGTTTCTTAAGTACAATTTTATATAATAATGTATGTAAAACATACGAAAACCCGTAGAAAATGGCAGATGTGATACTGTGATTTTCACCGCTTTTTCCCATTTTTTCTTTGCGGGCATTTTTATTTGTGTCAAAAGTAATTAAATTATTTTAAAATATTTGTCATTTTACGCCCACTTGAAGTGGGAATGGATTCCGCAGCAGCAGTGTAAAAAACGAGTTCCTGCAAAAACTCTATAAAATTTTTGAGTATGACCTTTTTTCCATTGCATTTCATTTTTGAAAAAAGGGACCCCCAGGGGGGACGAAAAAAGACGATTTTTAAATAATTTTTTGACTTTCATTTTCCGCGGATTTTGCCCTTTTACAACGGATGGACAAATTTTAAATAGTGTGTACATTTTTTTCAAATCTTTTTTATCATTGTTCCCCAAATTGGTTTTTTAAACAAAAAGTCAAATTTCAAAAAAGTAAAAACTGAAAAATTTTTTTTAAAAATTTGTTTGAAGTTCTTTTTTAAAGATAAAATTATCCAGCACTCAAAAAAATTACGTGAGGAAACGGGAATACATACAAAAAACCCTTTTTTGTAACAGAATTTCTTTAGCCCAATCACGAGGTCTTTCCCAAAGGGGGGTGGAATTTTACATCCCTATTTTTTGTTTTTCTCAAACCACTGGGCCGTCCCGGGAGTTAGGGGGGTGCTTTTTTTCGCATTTTAAATTCACGGTTTTTCTCAAAAAAACGTTAAAAAGTTTTAACGGGTTTTTTTGCGATGGCTTTTGGTTTTTTGGGGGGTCTTAAAAAAATTTTGTAAAATATTTTATTTGATTTTTGATAGATTAATCAAAAACATAGTAAAAATAATTTGCCACGTTTTTCATAAAAAAAATATAACATATTTTCCTTAAAGCAGTTAAATAAACTCTTTAGGATTTTAAACTTTTTACTACGAAAATCTTAAATAAAAAAAAACCATACGCAGTTTTTTATGATATAATTAAAATAAGAACTTACAAAAAATCAATCATTACAGTTTAGTTTGCGTATTCAGAACGAATGTTGAAATCAAGACAAAATGAGACCACGAAACCCCAACCCCTTTAAAATACGAAAAAGTTTTTTCTTCAAGGGAATAGAGTTGGTTTTCTGTTTAGCAATTTCCCTTCAAATTTTCTATGGATCCCGCCAAGACGAAAAAGTAATTGCCAAAAATCAGATTCTATAAGTAAATACTTTCACCGTCTTGACCCAAAGATAACGGTTTTTTTGGGTTTTAAGTTTCAATTTTTTTTTACAAAAAATTGAAAAAATTAAAATTTGCAAAAAGCATAAGGGGATTTACGCTTTTAATTCACTAAACAAATACTTCACTACTTGACTTAACAGTTTAGCAAGCGTTTATAATATTGGCATTCGATACAATCCTTAAAATCTTTAAGTTGTCTCGCTGTTTCTACTTGATTGAACAAACAATACGAATAAACGTTGGACTTAATATAATAAGATCTTATAGTTTTCAGAACAAGCTTAGGTATCTTTCTCCGCTAAATCAGTTCTTACAATTAAGAAAAACTACAACACCAAAAAAAAAGATTATAATAATGTATGTCATGCTAAAATACTCATGAACAAAACATTTAAAAAACAGTTTCTTTAGACAAAATATCCATATTTTGATTGACGATCAACCAATTCTTAAAAAAAAGACTTACAAGCAACATTCAAAGCCAATCTATTGCTATAAACGGCTCTGGTTTCGTCGTCTGTCCACGCTTCACAATTCAACATCCAGTTGTTTATCGATCTATTTGGGTAAAATTGGAAGGTACTTTCTACAGCTACCAGTCCATTTTCGCTAGAATTGAGTGTCTGTGTTGACGAATTTACAGTTATCTTTTGTTTAACGCTCTTATCAGATTCAGAGAGATACCAACTTACACTTGTTTGGTGGTCGACCTAGGTTGGAATGGTCTTACACTTATTGTTTGTTGCGAAAAATGCTCTTTTATTGAAAACTAAGAACTTGGTCCAGATAGTTGTACATTTGTAACAGAAACTGAAATAAATTCAAATGATAAATGTGATGAAATGATATCAAAGAGAATGAATAACAAAAGCATAATTTTATGCATAAACAATTTGATTTAAATCATCTTCTAAACGACACTGCACTTTAGGATCTGATTACCACCAATAGGTTATAATTTTCTCGTGATCTTTCAAACAACCAATCAGCTTTTTAATTATCAATTTTGAAAGCGATACGGTTTCTAATTTCAAACTAATACTCAACAAGAAATATACATGTTATTTGTTTTTTTCCTTTATCTATTGTATTCTTGATAAATATTTAATCCAAAGCAATTTTAACATATTTAAACATTTAAAGGAATGAGGTTAAAGTATTATCATGCATCTAAGATAAATTGAAAAAGGGATTGGTACACTTTAAACGATTGATAGAGTATAAGCTATTTAAAAAGATATTTAAACTATTTGTTTTTTCTTAAAGAAATACTGGTAATATCTTTTTTAATAGCTTATTCTTTATCAATTCTTTAATCCCATTTCTTTCAATGTTTTTATATATCAAAAATTGCTTATATTTGTAAAATTGTTTTAACTGTAATAAGAATTGTTGTGCAATAACTTGTATTATGTATTTTGTGAAACGTATTTGTTTTGTAATCTATTTGTCTTATTATGTGTTGTTTCATTGTAATTTTATTTTAATACAGGTTTTATTTTTCTTTGAATGAGAGTTGTCTGAGACCTTAAATTCCTATGCTCCGGATTTACTGTAAATATGCTAAATCACCCTTAGATTCTTATTTGTTATAATCGAAATAATAACGTGACGAGTTGTTAGCTCGTAGACTACTTGCTTTTTTGTCTATGTACTTATAAATCCCCATTAATGTCGCTAACAGCACTTTTTGTGTTTTTTATTGCTACTGTAAGTCTTTAATTATGCAAGAAAAAAATATGGCTCTTGGGCAATGTTATTTTCTATCTTTCCTTAGGTTTACTTAAAAAAATAATGTTACAACTTGAGACTTTATACATTGATGGATAGTGTGAGAAAAATAACATTGTCCAAGAAGCATATTTCTCTTTTGCATTATTTGAGATGTAAAGGATGTTTTAAATCATTACAATCATACACAATATTATTTACAATATTTACGAATATTATTAAATGATATTGGAATTAAAGTGGAAAAGGTGGAGTGTGATGAATAAGGAACGATGTGTGTACGGAAAGGATATACTTCTAGGAAAAGGAAGTACTTCCCGTAGACAAAAAATAACAATTTTGTTTTTCTTTACGCTGATTTCAGACATTTTGGTCACATCTCGAAATTCAGCGGATTAAATCCTACATAACTTATTATTAATTTCCAATTTCTCTCGCAAATAATAGACTATTTATACTACGTGATTTCTGAATCAGCATTTAGAGAGATAAAATCTTTAGACTCACAGTCCGAATTCAACTACCACTTAACAGTGATATTAATTGAATCCAAATCAAATATTTTTTTAACGGTTGCCGTGGTTAGAATAAACGATATAACTAAAACATGGAAATTTCTCAACTAACTCTTCAATATGTGCCAGTTATACAAGTGTCACATTTAATACAATACTAATAGTTTGTGCTTAATCATATTCATTTTTAGAGAAAGAAGTACTTTACTTACCCTTTTCTAATACTTTAACAGTATTACTTTTTCTGTAACGATCAAAACATTCCCATTGGGTATTAATATCATCTTGTTGTATACGTAATATAGTTACAGTAAACGATGTATCAGATGGACAACCAACTCTGTAAATGTTGTTATCAGTAAAGATTCCACTTCCACTACAAGTATTATCTTGATGTCTTACTATAGATGGTGTATGTTGATAATTTACAATCCACTTTGTCCCTGCGACATTGTTGTAACCAGTATAGGTGCAGGTTAATGTGAGGGCCTCGTTTATATCGGTGTAAGCCTTGGTCGGAGTTAGAACAATGCTTTGACATGGTGTACCTTTGAAACAAACGATATTTAATGAGTTAAGTTTAGCAAACAATTTTATTCTTTCTATTTTTTCAGCCGACTGCATATTTGTGAGAAAACTTGAACACGTAATTATCCTTAAATTTCGACAGTTTTATCTTTAAAAAATAAACATGTCAATACCTTTGGGAGACTGAATTATACTATATTATACTAAAAGTGTTTTACGGTGTTTCTTATGAGAGAAAATGAATATATATTATGTAATCTTCTTAAACTGTTTTCCGGACGGTAGGGATTTTTGTCAGCAGTCAGAAAAGAGATATACCATTGACAAGAATGCAACAACAATTAAATTGCAAATGCGCTGATAAACCAAATCACATTACTTAAAAGATTTATGAAAAAAGAAATAAAAAATGGAAACATATTGTATCTGAGAAGTCAGTTAATTATATAAATCAAATGCAGCTGTACTGAAAATCATTAGTAAGTGCATAAACGATTGATTAATTGTTGTACTTACCCTGAATGAAACATAGAGCAATGATACTTAAATGAAATGTCCAGTTCTGCATTTCCAAAACTCAGCATATAAATACCTGTAGCTATTAAATAACCTGAAAAGGTATTTTGTATAGT